ACATGAGGGGAAGGAAAGTGATCAAGGAAGCAAGCAATAAGTCAATGGGGAAATGAGCAGCAGGAAGCACTAATGGAGTGTTCGTGTTGGCACACAAAACTTATTAATAGGCTGAGAGTCTTTAGAGGCTGAAGAAAAAAATGGAAGACCTGTTTGGTCTGACTTTATGTCATTTGTGTTTGGGTTTGGACTTGATATCCCGCCTTTCACTCCCCTTAAGGAGTCTCAAAGCAGCTAACAATCTCCTTTCCCTTCCTCCCCCACAACAAACACTGTGAGGTGAGTGGGGCTGAGAGACTTCAGAGAAGTGTGACTAGCCAAAGCTGCATGTGGAGGAGCGGGGAAGTGAACCCGGTTCACCAGATTACAAGTCCACCGCTTTTAACCACTATACCATGCTGGCTCTGTGAGCATGGAGGAACATGGCTCTTGAATATTTATCCATAGCTAGTTGCTGTTATCAGATCAGGTGAGGAGCAGCTGAGCTGGATCCCTCCATCTTCTAGCCCCCAAACCCAGAGGCTGCCCTGGGACTTCAGTGCTTTTCAGCTAGTGTGGTGAAGTCTCTCAGCCCCACTCACCTCACAGAGTGTTTGTTGTGGGGGAGGAAGGGAAAGGAGAATGTTAGCTGCTTTGAGACTCCTTAAGGGGAGTGATAAAGTGGGATATCAAATCCAAACTCTTCTCTTATTCTTCAGGTTTAACGAGTGCTCTTTTCTGGGGGGGATGCAGGGGTACGCATACCCCTAAACATTTTGTGAATCTAAGTTTGGCCTCATTGAGGGGCAGTATTTCAATATGAGTAGGAAAATGAGAGTACCCCTAAACATATTTTTTTTAAAAGAAAAAAAGCACTGGGTTTAACCCAGAAATTTATTATTTATACCCCGCCCATCTGGCTGGGTTTCTCCAGCCACTCTGGGTGGCTTCCAACGGAATATTAAAATACAATAACCTATTAAACATTAAAAGCTTCCCTAAACAGGGCTGCTTTCAGATGTCTTCTAAAAATCTGGTAGTTGTTTTTCTCTTTGACATCTGATGGGAGGGCATTCCACAGGGCAGGTGCCACTACTGAGAAGGCCCTCAATACAGGACATCTCATTTTACATTGAAATAAAGGACTATCCCGTATTATACAGGACTCGTAGCATCTCTTGATGGGTGCCATGTCAATAATAAAACTGTTGTTGTTGATTCAGGTAGGTAGCCATGTTGGTCTGACGCAGTCAAAATAAATGAAATAAATAAAAAATTGTCCAGTAGCACCTTAGAGACCAACTAAGTTTGTTGTGTGTTCAGACCCAGAGACCTCCCCCCGAAATAAAAACACATTTGCCTCAAATTTTAGTTTGGTTTTTGGCAGAATTTAGGTCACAACGTTATTGATTACAGAAAATGAATGGTTGCATAGGCTCTGGTTTGACTAGCTCCCTGCACCCTTGCAGGTAGCACTGACCCAGAGCTCTATCATCGGTCAGCCAAGGGTGAACATCTCAGCTAGGTGGAAAAGCCCAGGGACAGACTCTGTTCACTCCCCAGATGCTCCCCTGGACTCAGGCATGGGCACAAACTGTGAGGAGAACCTGAGCTTACAGGGTTAAACAGCTCAGAGTGTACGCCCTGCCTACTGTTGGGAGGGGGGAACTTCTGTGTCATATCCGAGAGCCTCCAGCCTTTGTTCTCTTTCTACTTTCGCTTTTGAGGAGAGTGGACGTGTTTTCTTGATGCTGTTCGCTGTGATAGATATATTTTTTTTTAATGCAACATGACATCCTTTTATTGAATAGTACAAGCTATTATTATTTTTTTGAAAATGATATTTATTGAAAAAATTTTGGAATTACAAAAGAGAACAAAGCAGAAAAAGAAAAAGAAAAAGAAACAAAGAAAAAACAAACCACATCAAACAATACATATTCAAAAAACAAAAATACACAGCAAACACACAAAAACAAATCCATCATTCTCGAATCCTCAACTTTCATTACCTTCTTTCTTTGACCTCCTCCCTTTTTTTGTATCCTAGTTGTTAATTGTCGCAGCAAATCCTTTCCATATTTCATAATATTCTGTCATTACATTACCTTAATCTATTTTAATCTTATCTTACTATAAAAAACCTTAAAACTTAAAACTTGAATCTTATTTTTACCAACTTCTCATAACCATAATATTCTTACATAATTCTTTAAACATTTTTACTAAAGCCAAGTAATTTCATTCCAACATTTTTCTAACATTCATCAATTTTATAAAACAATCCTAGTAATAAAAAATAAATAAAAACAATCCAATCTTCATCCAGCGTCCCTTCCTCCTGGTCACGGGTTTTGTCAGTCCTTTTTATCCCATTAATCTAGCGCATTAACCTGGTAACCTTATATCCGAGGCCCTTAAGTCCCTTCCATGTCCCTTCCGCGGCTCTTCTTCATATTCTCCTTTCACTCGTGGGAACTCCAGCTTGGCAATGTTTTTGACCCTTTTCAACAAATCAGCCCCTTTTCCATAGTCCAGACTAAACTCCATGTGGTATTTAAAAACATGTTTCAGAATCCCTCCAAAATTAAGAGCCCCCACAACCCCAAACACCTCAAGGCCCATTGCCAGACTTGGAAAGTCCAAACATCCCTGCATGGGGGGGGGGTCTATCCAACCCCCCATTTCCAAACCAGTCCAAACTTTATCTTTCCAAATCTGGCTTTTTCCAAGTTCATTTGTCAAATCCAAAAGCTCATGTTCCTGCAGGGCCACAGCTCCCTCCATCTCTGGCGCCCAAGATTCAGCAACATCCTCTTCTCTCATCTGTTCTGTCAGGGCACACTCCTGGTTTAATTCCTGGGTGGGCTCCATATAGTTTCCCACTGCCTGTTCAAAATTCTGATCGCATCAGTCATCAAATCCGTCTTCTCATTTAATTGTTCCAGTAGGGCATTTGTTTTACAGAGAGCACACAACAGAGCTTCTGAATACATTGTCCTTCAAGGTCAAAAGTCTATTCCCACGATTGTAATCTGTAACAGCTGCAAGCTCCCTGGAATTGGTTACAGTTTCACAGTCTCCCTCTAGGGGGAAAACTTCTATTAGTTCTTTCTTTTAAAGACAAATCTAGCAACAAAGTTTCCTTTTTCAGATATCTTGTCAATATTTGTTCCTTTAAAAAGCGAAGGGGAACAATGGAATCACTATGTTTCTCTTCTTTTAGCTAACTGTCAAAAACGTTTGTCTCTGGTCAATGAGCTTCAAAAAGACGTCAGTCCTGACACCCCGCTCCAGGATCAAGACGGTGGAAAGTTACTTTACTTTAAACTCACTTCTGCAGGTTTGAACAGTCCAAAAAAGATCCCCCTTCTTCTCCTGCTTCCGAAGGGGGTTCAACGATTTTAAATGATGAAAGTTAATCTTTTAGAGGCGATTTTCTGAGCTCTAGTTTACCTTGTCTTTGCTTTAATCTGTCTACAAAGAAACAGAAGGCTGACTTCCTATTTAGACCTTCCCGTTTCAGTGCCAAATTGAAGTAAATTTTTAAGTCCAATTCCTTTCTGCTCGCAAGTCCTTATTTAAAATCCAATTGTCCGAAATTTAAGTACTCATGGGTGATTATTTTAGAAGCCAAATTGTCCCAGGAAAAAGGCAGTGCTCTCCGACAACGGCTATGCGGCTTCGCTCCACGGAAGAAGCAGTTGACTCTCAGCACCGCACCACTTTCCCCTCTTCGCTTCGGAGCCCATTAGTGGGTTCCTTTGCGGGTTGGGGGGGCGCTAAGGGTGCCCGCCGAGTCCCATGGTCACAGGCTTCATCCGCCTGTGATTTTTGAAAGGGTCCCTGCTTCACCGTAGCGGAAAAGACCCGTTTCGCGTGGAGCTAGTCCCTCCAGATCAGAGGGAGTCCGCCATTGCCGATGGCGCCACCCCGGAAGTCCTGTTCGCTGTGATAGATAATGCATAGTCTGCTGTAAATAAAAAACTGCTTCCAGCTGCTAATATCCTGAGTGGACTTTATTTAAGCACACTGAAGAATGCACTGGAGTTTTGAAGCTTTCTCTTACCGCTGCTGATCTCTGCTTTTGCTCAGAGCATCGGAATGTGGAGTTTGGAATGCAGAGGCCTGGCAAGAGCTACGCAGCCGAAGCGGGCTGGACGCCAGGATTTATCTGAGCAATAAATCAATCTCCTTTCAGACAAACCCCCTCACAGGGGTTGACCAAACCAAGTTGAGTCCCTGGATTCCTTTAACAGAATACCCTTCACGGGGGGGGGGGGGGCGAGACCGTTCTCCCATCCCTATCACATGAGCCAGTGCCTACCCGCAACCTTACAGGTTGTGACGATTTGCTACACGGCAGGCAAAACCCAAAGGGCAACAGCCAATCAGCCAAGTGGGGGAAATTCCTGCCGTGCCCCTGTCCCAATGACAGATACCACACGATGGCATAGCAAGGTCAATTGCAAAATGCCCTAAATATAGGGAGAGGTGGGTGGGTGTTCCGATGCATGAGCCAAAAGTGGAAGCTCTGGGTCACGTGCATAGGTATGTATAGGTCCCTCGATCCGTTGAGACAGCACACCATTGGCCAGACTAAACCCAGCAACGAGGGACCTACCAATTGGGTGTTGTGGATATCCAATATACCCACCCACAACAAGAAGGTCAGCCTCCAGGTCTCACCGCAACACATGCCCTCTTTTAAGGAGGATACGCTTTCTGGGTATAAGCTTTCGTTTGCACCAGACCCTTATATATAGTGGGAGGGTGGGGTGGGGTTTTTCTCCCACTATATATCAGGGTCTGGTGACTTGTGTTTCTGTGTATCTGAAGAAGTGTGCATGCACACAAAAGCTTATACCCAGAACAAACTTTGCTGTTGTTGCTGCTGCTGCTGCTGCTGCTGTTGTTGTTGTGACTCAGCCTGAAAGCTGCAAGTGAGAATATGAAATGAAAACTCTGTAGAACCATATCACTTTAACTGTGAAGCTGATAAGTTAGATTTATTGGCTGGGGTGGGGTGGGGTGGGGGACAGTGGCATGAAAGAACCCATACATTAAGCAACTTCAGAAAGGGAAAGAATACACTGCGGTGTAAATGAGCAAAAGATTAATGACTGGTTAAAGGTACACAGGGAAAAACAGAGCTTCTTGGGAAACGGGCAGCATCATAACTGTTTCAGGCCTGAAGAATGTCCAGAGATCCATCAATGGGTGGCAAGCTTCTATTATTCAGGGTCGCCTGGATAGAAAGGAAGCAAAAAGGTACAAATCTAAGAGAGAGAGCATCAAAACAGAAAGGAACATGGGGCAGTGAGGTGAAGGCGGAGTGGCAGAGATGTTGAGAGATCCTTGATCCAATCAAATTGGACTTGTCTGGAAGGGGAGTCTAGTCTCTGCATTTCTGACACCTGGGCCCATACACTCATCAGCCGTTACTCCAATATATGCACTTCACATACCACACACCCCTTCCTCTGGGGATCATGTTCCCATTCAAAAAAAGGGACAAGCTCATCCTTCTCTCAGTAAGAAAGCTGTCAGCACAACATTTCAGGCAATGGACCAAGAAGGGTGGAACCAGGGAGCCCTCCAGATACCTGGTTGGGGGTGCTGTTGTGGAGTACTGTACTGCCACATGTCATCATCATCATCATCATCATCATCATCATCATCATCATCATAATACCCTGCCCATCTGGCTTAGTTTCCCCAGCCGCTCTGCATGGCTTCCAACCGAATATTAAAAACAATACAGAGTCAGACATTAAAAACTTCCCAAAACAGGGCCGCCTTCAGTTGTCTTTTAAAAGTAAAATAGTTGTTTATTGCCTTGACATTTGCTGGGAGGGCGTTCCACAGGGCTGGCGCCACTACCGAGAAGGCCCTCTGCCTGGCTCCCTGTAACTTGGCTTCTCGCAGCGAGGGAACCGCCAGAAGGCCCTCGGAGCTGGACCTCAGTGTCCGGGCTGGATGATGGGGGTGGAGCTGCTCCTTCAGGTATAAAGGACCGACGCCGTTTAGGGCTTTAAAGGTCAGCACCAACACTTTGAGTTGTGCTCAGAAACATACTGGGAGTCATGAACTGGCAGGGCACCAGGGAAGGGGAAGGGGATCCCAGCGAGGGATGTAGCTATGATTGGTATACACTGGGACAAGTTGAAGATGGGGAAGGGGAGGTTGGGGGCGGGAGGCACTCAAGGGACTTCAGAAGATGCTGAAAGGGCAGCCACCAGTTCACGGGAACCAGGGAAAGTCGACACATCATCAGAACCAAAGGTGGCCCCAGGTGATGGCCTGGGGTTCGGACTTGGATGCTGAACCTGAGGGATCCCAGCCTGCACAGGGTTCCCCGCCTCCAGAACCAGCTGAGCCGGGGCTGGGGCATGAGCCTAAAGGGTCCTTACCTGTGCTGGATCCTCAGGTGCAGGCACCAGCTGAGTCTGCTCTGGCTCCTGAGGTGATGGAGGACCCATTGTTGGCAAATGCTCCACTCTCAGCCCCGTCAGAGGAAGCTGAGGTTGCCTCTGGGTCCAGTAACCCTCCAGCCTCTCCTGAGCTGCAGAGGCTCAGGGCAGAGAGGCGGAGGGAACTAAGTTCTCGCAGAAGGAGTGCTCGCCTCCAGGCCAGGAGAGGCGAGTCACCTGAGGATTGGGGCCGCCCTATGCCTCGGGGCAGATAAAAGCTGGCCAGCCCCAGTCCCAAGTTGAGGGAGCAACAGTGTTGGTTGCTAGTTCCTGCCTGAACCCTGTCCTGCTTTCCTGCCTGAGCTCCAGACCCGCCCTGGCTTGCATGCCTGTTCCTGACTTCACCCGACTCCCTGCCCTGCACCCAGCTTCAGCTGCTACGGACTGCCTCCACATTGCACCTTTGACCACAGACCGGACTTGGACCTCGCCTTTCGGGTAACCCATGGGACCAGCACACCCCATCTGCATGAACACGGTGGGCTCTCAGGCATTGGGAACACTTTCAGAGGTAGGTGCGAGAACACAGCCCAGTTGACTGGTTGACCAGATCATGGGACTCCTTGGATTTGAGAGAAGGTGTGTTTGAGAGAAGTCTGCTTTGGGACCTCCACTGGCCTGTGATTTTGGGACTGATCCTAGGATCCCAACCTTGGCTCTTCTGTAGAGGTGGGAACCTGACCTTATGGTTTGACTTTGAACCTTTCTTATTACAGTGAACCTGAACCTTTATTTGAACACCTCACTGTCTAGCATTGCTGTTGGGACTGAGGGCACTATGAGGACTTACGCATTGTTATGCCAGGGTTGAGCAAGTCGAGCATAAAGTTTATAGAATACACATCATGTGGAGAGAAATAGGCTATGTGTATGGGGACGTTGAGCTTCGCTGAAAAGGAGACCATGACCCTGAAAAAATGTGGGGTAGAACACATTACGTATGTTAAAATTTAAGCAGGCAAATGCTGGTGTCTATAAAGGCCCTCTTTAAATTATGATCTTAATTGTACAGTTAAAGGCATTGTAGGGAAATACTTTTGAAAGCATTAAAATTGGATAGATTAAATTATAATATACAGCTGCCAGAACTTTCACTTTTGTATAGATACCCCATTTTCACTTGCCTTCTGCAACGTTGAGAAGAGAGGCCATTGCAAACATTTAAGGGGAGGGGGGAAACAGAAGTGGGGATCTCATTGGGGCTCCATCCATCATCTTCCCACCTGCTCCCCGCCCCCGCCCCCACAGGGAGAATGGGGACTCCGTTCCTCACCCACAGGTAGTACAACAAGGCAAGAATACAAGGTACTGAGTATGTACTGAGTTGAATAGGATCCAAAAGGCAGCCGTCTGATTGGTCCTAGAACACTAGGATTCAGAATGCAGCAGTCTGATTGGTCCACAGGAGCCACCCAATCCAGCTCCAGGTGGAAGGGAATCCGCAGTCTGATTGGCCTACAGGAGAATCCCAGAATTAGCCAATTACGTGGGGCCCATTGTGTAAATAATGTATATAAGGCAGACATTCTGGGGGAACTTCCATTCCTCCTCACCACTACGAGCTGAATAAAGAGCATGAAATCCACTCTCGACTCCGAGTATATTTCACAAAGGATGTGTGAACTACCTTTCATGAGCTGGACAGAGGGGGAAACAATGAGGCAGCGACCCTAGGTGCACAATTTTGAGTGGACGCAACCATGCAGGTGGGCAAGGGGTGAGTGAGAGACCTTTGCAGTGAGACCAGCAGGGATGTCTGAAGAGTCTCATTCAATTTCTATCTGAGACATAGATCTAGGAAAGCCAACACAAAGTGTGAGAATATGAAGGTACATGGGTTGACCTGATAGGTTTCCTGGGGCCATTTTTTTATTTTTTTGCCCCAGGTGACAGGCACCTTCCTCACCACCCATTTTTACTTTTGCTTGCAATAAAATAAAGGCATGCAATCACAGTAAAAAGTGGCATTCGTGGTGACGTGTGTCACCTGTCAGATCGCTGCAGCTCAATCGTTCTGGCATTGGTGTTGTGGTTCAACACTGAGCTACTTATTATTTGAACAAGAAATATTTACCTTTGGGGGGGGGGAAGGGTAGGCCTCTGTAATCAACTTTAAAATCTAATTTCTTTGGTTTTGGACAAAATCTGTGAATCACACATCTCCATCTTGACTGTGAAAATGCCTAAGGTAAAGGGACAAGGGACCCCTGACCATTAGGTCCAGTCATGGACGACTCTGGAGTTGCGGCGCTCATCTTGCTTTATTGGCTGAGGGAGCCAGCGTACAGCTTCCGGGTCATATGGCCAGCATGACTAAGCCACTTCTGGCGAAGCAGAGCAGCGCACAGAAACGCCATTTACCTTCCTGCCGGAGCGGTACCTATTTATCTACAATGGTACCTTGGGTTACAGATGCTTCAGGTTACAGACGCTTCAGGATACAGACTCCGCTAACCCAGAAATAGTACCTCAGGTCAAGAACTTTGCTTCAGGATGTGAACAGAAATTGCGCAGCAGCGGCAGCAGGAGACCCCATTAGCTAAAGTGGTACCTCAGGTTAAGAACAGTTTCAGGTTAATAATGGACCTTCAGAACGAATTAAGTACTTAACCCGAGGTACCACTGTACTTGCACTTTGACATGCTTTCAAACTGCAAGGTTGGCAGGAGCAGGGACCGAGCAACAGGAGCTCACTCCGTCATGGGGATTCGAACCCCCAACTTTCTGATCGGCAAGCCCTAGGCTCTGTGGTTTAGACCACAGTGCCACCTGCGTCCCTCGTGAAAATGTCTATTTCAGCTAATTACCCACAGAAACTCAAGATGCTAACAGTCTCAAGCAGCCCAACAATCCCAACTTAAACACAAGTCCCAACTATTAACATTTGAAAGCAAAAGCACGACAACACATTCCAAAGAGAGACATTCTTCCCCCAAGAGATTCAGTAAAAAACGGTTCATACCACCAGCAGCCGAAGAAGCCGACTATGCGAAGAAGGAGACAAAGGCTGCCGACAGACGCTGTTGGAACAGAGCTGTGTATGACATCCTTTTATAGTCTTCCATTCACAAGGTCAGAGCCCTGAGGCAGCCCTAAAGAGCTAATTGTTATATGCAGTCCCTGGATATTTACAACCCTGTTTTTGACCATTAGCCGTGTGGGAGTTCCCTCAACCACATGCCAAAGTGACGCCTTTCATCTGATGTTATGCCGCCTCATTCGGAAAGACTTTGTTCTTATTAATTGCTGTGTGAAATGATTTCCACACACACCCCCGCCCCAAGATGAGTGCTTTGGAGGCTTAATTTAAAAATAATGAGCCAATGATGGCTACAATCCTTACATAGAGAAATGTCTGGCGGCTGCCAAAATGGGCAGCTACCTGCTGCACTTTACTGTACTGTTTGTACTTTCTCGGGGCCTCCTGAACGGCATCGACACCACTGCCAATAGCTCTTGGAGGCGGAAGGATGTTTTAGTCATGTGCAGTTATGCTAGGCTTGAGATGGATGCAGCATTTTGGAAGTTCTCTCAGTTCCTGCTAATTCATTTGTGGTGGTGTTCGCAGGGGTCAGCAACCTAAGGCCTATGGGCCACAAGCGGCCCACAGGGGTCATTTGGCCAGCCCACAAGCTGCCCCCAAACCAAAATGGCCACTCGGCGAGTCCCCCAGACCAAAACGGCCACTCGGCGAGTCCCTGCACGCTACGCTAAAGCAGTGTGTTGCGGTGCGGTGTGGCGTGGTGCGGGTACTTGCTTCTGCGGTGCCGGAAATGGCATCTGTGTAAATGCCAGAAATTGTGTCTGTGCAGACACAGACACCGGAAATCGTGGGTGCCTTCAGATGTCTTCTAAAAGTCTGATAGTTATTTATTTCCTTGACATCTGATGGGAAGGCGTTCCACAGGGTGGGCACCACCACCGAGAAGGCCCTCTGCCTGGTTCCCTGTAATTTTGCTTCTCACAGGGAGAGAACCGCCAGAGCTGGACCTAAGTGTCCAGACTTAACAATGAGGGTGGAGATGCTCCTTCAGGTATACTGGACAGAGGCCATTTAGGGCTTTAAAGGTCAGCACCTACACTTTGAATTGTCATTGGAAACATACTGGGAGCCAGTGTAGGTCTTTTAGGACCGGCGGCTGCTTCCATTCACCAGTCTAGCTGCCGCATTCTGGATTAATTGCAGTTTCCAGGTCACCTTCAAAGCTAGCCCCATGTAGAGCGCATTGCAGTAGTCCAAGCGGAAGATAACCAGAGCATGCACTACTCTTGGGAGACACTTCAAATAACTGCATTTACTAAATCTTTAGCCCATAAGGGGGATTGTTGGCATTCTCTAACTACTCTTGAATCCTTAATTGTTCCTATATCTCTGATTTCTAAAGGCTTGATATCCAGTATTTACAAATTACTAATAAGCCAGGCAATTGGCCCTCCACCAAGTCTTAGGATAGCCTGGGAGGGTGACCTTAAATATCAAATTGAAGAATGTAAGTCGGATAAATGGGATCAGATTTTGGTAAATGATTCTTTAAAAACTGTATCTTCTCAAAATCCACTTTAAAAATCATACTTAGGTGGTATTTGCTTCCAGTATGCCTTTCCAAAATCAATACAAATATTTCTCCACTTTGCTGGTAGGACTGTAAGACTATAGGAACTTATATGCACATATAATGGGAATGTGAGGTTTTATATAATTTTTGAATAAAGGTTTTTACCATTATCTTTCTAAACACGGATCAACCATTAACACCAGATCCAGCCTTGACCTTGCTTTCAATAGAAAGCAATACAAATCCCAGAATAAGTCTCTGGTCTTTTTATTGTTAGCTGCAAGAACAATGTCAATAGCCAGTCAATGGAAATTTGCTTAACTCCATTGACTGATTATTGGTTTCGTAGAGTTTGGGATATCTCACACAGAGACAACTAGAAAGGTAGCCAGGAAAACTCTAAATCAGATTATTTTTTATGCTATCCGGTTTAAATTTTTGATGTAAGTCAATGCAACAAAGATGGAACACAGAGCCCCCAGTGGTTCAATTAAGTCTGTGGAAAGGATATATTTTAGAAGATTAGGATAAAGTGATTTCTTGAAGCCTTAGGTTGTGCTGGGCCATTTAGTCTAGGGTTACCAAACATCCCCATTTCCCGGGGACAGTCCCTGGATTTGTGAATAAGTCCCCGGACAAATTCCATCCCCGGAATGTCCCCGGATTTCATCTAATGTCCCCAGGACAGTTGGCTGGCTTCAGGAACTGCTCAGAAGTCCCCATGTGATGGTGGTGCAGGGGCTCTAAGATGCAGCTTCCGGGCTGCGTCCACCTTCCCTGACCCCAGCAACTAATGGGATCCCTCAGCTGGGAAGGGAGGCTTCCCATTGCCTAATTAAGAGATCCTTGCCCCCTCCTGCTTGCACACAAGTAGGAATGGGATTGGGTCTGCTCTGATGGGAAGGGCGGCATCGCGCTGCCCGAGCCTCACCGTCACCGCCACTCTCGGCCCTCCTTCTCCGCCTTCCATGCCTGACCTACCGAGCACTGCTTCCCCACCACCACCAAAGAACCAACAACCTGGGCTGCCCAGGCTTATGGAGAAAGGAGATAGAAGCCTCGGAAGAAGGGGAAACGTGGCGGTTGAGGTCAAGGCAGCAGCCGCCTCTCTGCCACCGCCATCGCTGCAGCATCAACGTCCCGAACGTGTAGTGTTTATTTATTTAAAGTGTCCCCGGATTCATTGAAATAAATCTGGTAACCTTAGTCCAGTATCGTGTTCTCACAACCAGATGCCTGCACAAAATCCGCAAGCACAACAAGGCTCTTCCCTCCTGCAGTTTCCAGAAACTGATATTCAGTAGCATTGCTGCCTTCAACCAAATGGTGTTCCTTTTTAATTACAGTCAACAAGACTGCTGGATTGAGGTTTCAGTAATACCCATCCTTTAATGCTTAATAAATCGACTAGTTGGGTAGGTGCCAAAAGGATCAAAGGAAACATTCACAGTTCTTTGCCTGGCTCTCATAACTGTAATGAATAATAATGAGGAAGTATAGCGTGTGCCCTGGAGCGAAATGTGTGAAATATTATCTTTGCAATACTCCGAGAGGCAGGCGGCACGTCGAAAGTACAAACAGTACAGCAAAGGCAAAAGGCAACTGTTCCATTTGGCAATTGCCGCTCCGCTACAACCGTAGCCAGCACCACCTTATTAGTGTTATTTTATTACACCTCCAAAGTATTAATCAAGGGGAGGCAGAAATCATGCCACACCGCAATTAACAGGAACAGGGAGTCTTCCCAAATGACACAGCAGTAAATGAAAGGAGTCCTCTTGAGATGGTGGTTGATGGGACTCCCACAGAGCCAAAGGCCACAGATATGATCGCAAGTATACAGGGATTTTAAAAAATATTTTTGATTGGTTTTTACAAAAGGTACCCTCATTTCTTTGCACTTTCAACAAATATTGGAGCTTGTTCTATACATTTTGGATAACTTAGTAGGAGTCAGATACCACCAGTCCATCATTTTCATATAATTTTCTTTAAGTGTACAACATGCTGTGAATTTCAAATCTGTTCTCCATAGCCTCTTCCAATCTGCCATTTGTGTATTATGTCCTAAGTCCTTTGCCCAGTTTATCACAGCCGATTTAACCTGTTCATCCTTTGTATGCCACAAGTATACAGGGATTGAAGTGAGACTGCAAATGACAATTGGATCTTTTGGACTGACTTGAGAACATGAAGCTGTGAATGAAGAGAAATAAATGATTCCTTAGTGAGCTATTTTACCATTCAGCCTTCTTGGCCTTCTTGAAGCTGCTCACCTTAGAAATACAGTGGTACCTCGGGTTAAGAACCTGATTTGTTCCAGAGGTCCGTTCTTAACCTGAAACTGTTCTTAACCTGAAGCACCACTTTAGCTAATGGGGCCTCCAGCAGCCGCCATGCCGCTGCTGCGTGATTTCTGTTCTCATCCTGAAGCAAAGTTTTTAACCCGAGGTACTATTTCTGGGTTAGCGGAGTCTGTATCCTGAAGCGTCTGTAACCCGAGGTACCACTGTGTTTCAATATAATTATCTGCATCACAATACAGTGGTACCTCGGGTTAAGAACTTAATTCGTTCTGGAGGTCCATTCTTAACCTAAAACTGTTCTTAACCTGAGGTACCACTTTAGCTAATGGGGCCTCCTGCTGCCACCGCACCGCCACTGCACAATTTCTGTTCTCATCCTGAAGCAAAGTTCTTAACCCGAGGTACTATTTCTGGGTTAGCAGAGTCTGTAACCTGAAGTGTCTCTAACCTGAAGCATCTGTAACCTGAGGTGCCACTGTAGTGGTTCTATTGTCTCCATTTCATTATCTTATCTGTGGGAATCAGACTCAGGTTTGAGGAGGAGTGGTGGTTGCTTAAAACATATGTGGTTTTGGGGATGTGGATGAAATAACCATTCATAGAATTGTAGAATTGGAAGGGATCACAAGGGTGATCTAGACTGGGTGTACTACAGCACCTGCAAATGCAGGAACCTTTTGCCAAACGTGGGGCTTGAACCCACAACCTTGAGATTAAGGGCCTCATGCTCTACCAACTGAGCTATCCCAGCTTCATGCTTCCCCACTTCTTATATGGCATTCAACCAAGATCAAAAATCTAATATGGATGTTCCTAATGAATTGTTCTGTACCCAACATTCCATATCTGCTTTGGACTCAGCCCCCAATAAGCCCAACTCACTCTGGGCCAAACTAGAGACAACACACAACACCCTGGATCCCTATCCCAAATTGGTTGGGGCAGGGGGTGATGTTTAATGAGGCGGCTTAAAAAACAAACACCCAACTAAACATATGGCTGGAAGCAGACAGGGCAAAGTGTCACGAACATGCCAACCCAAAGCCAAGAAGTACAGCCTGAGATAGAAAGCAGTCAAACAGAGGGAGAACAGAGACGCCTGCAGATTTATCAGACAACTGGAACTTGTGGGCAAACCCTCCTCTCTTGGGAGTTAGTAGGAATGCAGCTTATCAGCTCGGAAAGGGTGGGCTGGATGGCAGCCAGCTCTCTCAAGAATCTCAGTCACTCTCGGCCCATAGGAGGGGGAGTAGTTCTTCAACGGAAGGGGAGTTTGCTGACCCTATTAGTCCTAAGCCTAGATGAATGGGGACGGTCTTAGACAGAAAACAAACGACGAAAAGTAAGGGTCAGAATTTCAGGCTATTCTGCAGGTCCCGGAAGTACTCTTCAGAAGAGTCAACTTGATTTGATGCATGGCTGCTCGGCGGGAGCGGTTGTGGCGAACAACATGTTTTGCAATACATCTTCAAGCTAAATACGTCTTGTGTGCTGTGTTAGCAAGCCGGCAGCCGGCTAGCTCCTGACAGAAAGGAGACATGGTGTCTCTCTCCCCCAATCCCCATGGGGGTTAATTTCTGCAGGGTGGTCTTTCACAAGTGTTTTTTTTTTCCTCCAAAGAAGGCATGCTTGGGAAGAAGCACCTGGCAAGTATGATTACCTCCTTTCAACAGCTGTTGAGTGGAGACATTGAGAGCCAGTGTGGTGTAGTGGTTAAGAGCAGTAGACTCATAATCTGGGGAACCGGGTTCGCATCTCCACTCCTCCACATGCAGCTGCTGGGTGACCTTGGGCTAGTCACACTTCTCTGAAGTCTCTCAGCCCCACTCACCTCACAGAGTGTTTGTTGTGGGGGAAGAAGGGAAAGGAGGATGTTAGCCGCTTTGAGACTCCTTCGGGTAGTGATAAAGTGGGATATCAAATCCAAACTCTTCTTCTTCTTCTGTGGGACACTGCTTCACCAGTGGGGCAGCAGGCAAGAGGCAGTGTCAGGTAGCATTGGGCTGAAAAGGGCTTCATGCTCCAAATGAGTACCCCACACCTAAAGGCATCCATCTGCCACCCCTTCTCTGGGGAAGACATAGCCAGCAGTTTGGTAGGGCTCAGCCTTTTGTGGGTTATCCTGCCCAATTCCTGCTTCTAAGTTCTGTCTGATTCTTATCCTCTTAACAACCCCAGATGAACCCAGTCTGTCCTACCTGGTATGCATCCATCTTGAACTATTTCAACCTGACTTAATTGATGCCTGGATCCTTATGATTAAGCCCAATTTGATTTGGTATTTGGGTCATGGTGTGCATCCAGTACTACTCCTACTCAGAGCAGTTCCACTGGCATTAATGAAGTTGACTAGCGTGGGTCCTTTAATTTCAATGGTTTTACTCTGAGTAGAACTTAGTGCTTAGCACATAGCAACCTATTATGATAAAGCGCACTAAAGCTGCTTCATCCAATGTTCTGAATGCATAGAAAGGTACAAATTTATGCTACCAAGTCCATAAAAGTCTAAGAATTAAAGTGTACAAATTTCAAAGTACAAATCACACTGGTCTGCTGTGCTTCTGATCATTCTCTGCTGGATCAAAGCAAAGGTGCATCTAGCCCAGTAGCCAACCAGAAGTCTCCAGAAATCCTAAAAACAGGGAATTCAGGGAGGGAATAGACCACTATTATTATCTTATATGAATGTGGAGGCCAGAGAAAATGATGTTAATGAATCCACTTATTGCTGACTGTTGAGTGACCATCTGTGAGAATTAATAATGAATGGTCTTTCTGAGAACTTTATAGTATATGGCATGGATAGGCAAACTAAGGCCTGGGGCCTGGATCTGGTCCAATCGCCTTCTAAATCTGGCCCACGTACGGTCTGGGAATGAGCATGTTTTTACATGAGTAGAATGTGTCCTTTTATTTAAAATGCATCTCTGGGTTATTTGTGGGGCATAGGAATTCGTTCATTTCCCCCCCAAAAAATATAGTCTGGCCCCCCACAAGGTCTGAGGGACAGTGGACCGGCCCCCTGCTGAAAAGGTTTGCTGAGCCCTGGAATATGGTGTAGCTCCTATCTTCCTCTCCAGCAGCTCCTATGAGCAGCCCAAGGAAAGAGGTCATGGCGTGCTCCCTTGCAGCCACAGTTTCCGCCAGCATTCAGGACATGGGCCAGATCCTCCTCCTCCCTGAGCTTGGTGGTGGCAGCACCGGTGGGCAAAATAGGGACATTCCAGGATCAAATGAGAAGCTGGGATGGCTTTCATAATACCTGGGAAATTGGGAAAGTTGGATAGTATGAAATGCAGGTGGGATCTCTGTGGTCTTTCAGATGTTCTTTGTCTATGATTCTCATCATCCCTGACCATTGGCCATGTTGGTTGGAGCTGAGGGGTTTTGGAGTTCAACAACATCTGGAGAACCATAGTTTCATTTCCCCTATCTTAAGTGGGTCTCAAAATAAACTTCTAGATTGTGAGGACCTCCATTGTATCTGGATCCAACTTCAATCTCATCCATTAAAGCAGAAGTCAAATATATGTACAGAATTTCCACCCGTCAAGGTGCAGTGTCTGTGTAAATCTTCTAGCCCTTTTGCCCATTGAAGTCTGAGAGGCTCTACCATTTTGAACATTTCACTAGTTGCTGAAAAGTATGCTACTACTAAGGTATTTCCCAGAATGAGTCACTGGCTCATGACAAACGCCTGATTCAATTAGGAAGGCTATTTCCATCTATTTTATTTTATTGTACTAATACTGATGTCTGTCACCCTGATATTTGTTAATGTTTTGTCTTCTTTATATTTTCCATTCACATAAATTACTGGTGTCTTTATATATATATATATATATATATACACGTGTATGCGCACGCACGTGAGTAACTGTGAGTAACAGTTCCCAAGATTAGAGAATATGGTGGATTTGAGTTTATTACTGCATTTCTGAATGTGTCTCTTTATTCAGCATATTGGGTGACAGTACAAAAAAGAATATGAGCGTTGTGTCCATCCTGTTTTGAATGTAATCCATTCATTAGCGTGCCTGCAATCTGAAGCCTGCAGAACTGCCATGGAATCTGTTCCAAGAAGCTCCCTTGCATTCCGAACCAAGTTACATGTACGTTTTACATTGTGGGTGGCTCTCCGCAGCTCTAAAATTATACAAGGCCAAAACTTTGGCACAACTCCTCCATGGTTCCTTTTTGGACCCACCTTCCTCTGCTTTCTCCCCACTTGAGAGAGTTCAATCTAGACTTCTTAGTGCTCTCCTCCAAGTCCCCAGATGTGTCTCAAACGCATGGGTTAGATTGGAAACGGGGATGATGAGAGTGGAGGCTAGCATCTGCCTAACATCAATCTGCAAATGGCTGACATTGAACCTGCTCCCCCGAGGGATAGCCCCATTGATCTTCTGTGACCAATTCCAGTTGGGCTGGCAAACTGCAGTCCTGAACACCCTCTGGAAATTTGGTTTTGCCCCTCAAGCCCTTCTAAGTCTGGGCTTGGGCCAGGCAAAAGCTATGGTCAGGCAAAGTATATTAGACACCAAGAGACAGCAGGACTATAGAACTGGAGAAATCGAGAGATATATAGCCGCACCGGCAGCATATCTCCTCTTTCTCGTTTCTTGGGATGCAAGAAGGGCCTTTACACTCACCAGACGCTCAGCTCTTCCCTTGCCGGTCTTGGGTGGAGCTTTTAGAAAAGTCCCCTATGCTCAGAGACTTTGCACCAGTCCACTGGGAGAGATAGGAAGCCCAGAACACTTGTTCTTTAGATGTCCCTCTTATGAAGAGGCACGTAGTAAGATCATGGATCCCCTACTGGTGAGGCTCACTGACCTCCCGCAAAAGCAAAAATTTGACCTTTTGCTGTTAGGCAAAGACAAGAAGATGACCGGGATGGTCGACAGATTCTGTGTACAGATCTGTAGGCGCAGACCATCACCCAATTCAAAATAGTCCGGCAATACTTATTGTTTTTGGAAATGAAAC